TTATCCAGCGGATATTGGCAATTTGGTCTCTCGTTCCTCTCCCTTTTCTAAACCCAGCTTGAACATCTGGCAGCTCTTGCTCCATGTATTGCTGGAGTCTTCCTTGCAGGATCGTGAGCATTACCTTACTGGCATGAGAAATAAGGGCCACTGTACGGAAGTTTGAGCAGTCTTTCGCATTTCCCTTTTTTGGTATGGGGATATAAGTTGATTTTTTCCAGTCTGATGGCCATTCTTGTGTTTTCCATATTTGCTGGCAAATGGCATGCATCACCTTGACAGCATCATCTTTTAAGATTTTAAACAGTTCAGCTGGGATCCCGTCGTCTCCTGCTGCCTTGTTGTTAGCAATGCTTCTTAAGGCCCATTCAACCTCACTCCTCAGGATGTCTGGTTCTAATTCATTCACCACACCGTGAAAACTATCCTCAATATTATTATCCTTCCTATACAGATCTTCTGTATAGTCTCGCCACCTTCTCTTGATCTCTTCAGCTTCTGTTAGGTCCCTGCCATCTTTGTTTCTTATCATACCAATTTGTTTCTTATCATACATGATAAGAATTTGTTTCTTATCATACATGAGTCTACACTGACCATATACTGATGTTCCAAACTGCATTATATGGCAGTGTATAGATCATGGAATAATGTATACAAAATTCATGTAAAAATGAAATATTTTCAAATGTGAGACAGGACAAAAATATTATTTACTGTCTAAACACATTAAAACCAAGCTAGGTAGCAGCACATGTTGCAAGTCAAAGGCAATCCATGGAAGAAGCAGCCCAGAAGGAGATAAGAAACTTGGAAATAGGGTGAAATCATATTGGAGACTTTAAAAGTGTAAACTTTCTTACGAAAGGAGTTAGCACTTTCCATCTGAACCATCTGAAGGCATATTTGGTTGTGCATTCAGTTGCTCCATATTCATTTGTGCACTCAGATACATTTATATTAATGCCCACTGCATTGCCATTTGACCAAGCATTCAGCAGCACAATCAATGTGCATATTCCCAAATGGCGATATACGTAGCAATTGAAATATAAGATCTTGGATTATATCTCTACCTACAGACACATCTACACTGTAGAATAAATGCAGTTTGACTCCATTTTAACAGGACTCAGTGCTATGGAATTTGGGGAGTTGTAGTTGGGGAGAGAAGGCTAAAGACCTTGGAAAATGACAGTACCCGGGATTCTATAGCATTGAACCCTGGCAGCAGAAGTGGTGTCAAACTGCATTTGTTCTACAGTGTAGATGCACAACGTACCTATGGAAATGTCTGGGTTTATAGAATTAAGAACATAATAAATGAGTGAGCCAGCATGGAAGACTGGGAGATGCTCTGACTTCTCAGGAAACCATTAAAGGATCAGCCTCCTCTGCAAACGAAATACAAAATGGGTGTTTCCCAAAGGTTCTCAGACACTCTTTTAGATAACACTGGAAGCATCATCACCATGTTTTAGCTTACGTGGGCCATTAACAAGACTTGAACATAATCAATTTATTGTGCATTTTCTATTCTTTAAAAGACCAATTCTAGGCTTAAATTGGCCAGCTACCTCTCTGAGGTGAAGATGATAATGATGGTGATGATGACGACAACAACAAGAACAACAAGAACAAGAACAACAACTTTATTTTGTACCCTGCCTCCATCTCCCTGAAGGGACTTGAGTTGGCTTACATATGGCACAAAATGCCTCCAGCCACCCCATCCATCTCCAAGAGGAGATTTTGGAATATTGTGTCCAATTCTGGGCACCACAATTGCAGAGAGATATTGACAAGCTGGAATGTGTCCAGAG